AGCATTAGGCACCTGTGATTCTATGATTCTCTAATTGATGTGTGTAAGCCTATCCCTTTAAACTGATCATTTAGCATACATTTAAGTTTGTGTTTGAGTTCTTCAATTTCATTTCATGTATTCTTTAGCTTTATAATAATTCTATCTGTATCCTGAATAAAACTCAATCATCATCACCTTTGTCACTACCCTAATTTCATTAACACCTAATTTTCTTGACTGATTTTGTATTACGTAACTGCAATTACCAATCTTAACCTGTTTAATTAAAATAACCATAACCAATTGTATTTTTGTTCGACAAACTTAATGTACACATACATACAAAATAACACATATATATTTGCCACTGTACAGCTAAGAAAATGAATTCGCGGAAAAGAGACTCTTCGTTGAACTACGTGCTTTGTTTTCGTTAAATAAATAAATATGCGTACCATAGATGTGTTACGTATCCTATGGGATAATTTGGGCGCCATATCAGACTGAATATGTATAGAATGACTAAAAATGATCTTAGTGTTTTTAGAAAATCAAGGTAGAACTTTTGCTGAGGGTTTTGCCGAGTTAAGCAAAGCTCGATTTTACATACATAGTCAAATATTGTATAAAACAGAATGGACTGTTGTGAAGGTCACCTGAAGAGGAGAATCTGTGCATACTGTATCCGATGTGACTCAGTTCAGAGTGCTGATTCAGTACAAACCAGTTAAATATGAGTTAAATGAGTGGGTGACTGGCGAGACCGATATCACTAGGTAGTATGCATCATTATGCTAATTCATTTGATTTCTTGATTGCGTGGGATTCTGTGTATCACCATTTCATTTAAGTAGCTAGCTGGAATTCAGGTTTTTGAACTGATTCAGTATTTTGATCTGAGTCAAACCTCTTGAGCTGGACTATAAACAAGTGGAACATCCGTGCGGTGTTCATATATCTTATAACTGGCCAGGAAGCACTATTAGTTAACATGATCGCTTTACAGCTATTCATATTGATCAATAAGTAATATATATTAATTTAATCCATCAGTTGGTAGCTGAGATGCTATTTTAACTGACTCATGTAGAAATCTTGAGGCTTTTTTTACTTAAACGGTACACATCACACACCACAATATCCTCACACTTGTGAGAATGAAACATCGTTTTTCTTCATATAGTTTTGTTTATTGGTAGTACATGCACATATAAACTTTACTCCATTTTGTTGATGTGACCATTCTTTCACATGAATTCTTTGGTCAAATTGAATAAAATCCACTTTAAACAGTAATCAAAAGTAGTCTTGAACACAAATTTCTAATTATTTGTTATTTTTTTAAATCCAACACGTTCATACTGGAACCTAGGGCTCCAAGTTTTGAACCTTCAGTAGTTGTGTCTCTCGTTTTATAGGGTGAGACTGTTAGCTCCATTCCCACCTTCCATTTTTACCGTGCTTACTACTGGCTAGTAAACTAGGCATTGAAAGGAATAAAACCCGGATCCCATACGTGACTGTCACGAATTCTACGACTGGACCATCGACCAACGTAATTTATGATTAGTTATTTTGAATAAAACGTTTTAGGAGATCTGGAGGAAAATTTGATGTTATATTCATATGACATGCTCGAATAAACATTAGCTAATTAGTCATCCGGTGTAGTGATAAACAGCAAGTAATGAATCTCTCATTAAGACCCATAATAATGTTATTGAAATGACAAACTAGCCAATTGCATCTGGATCTCGTAGCTCCGCTAGTACAGTCTTAAACTGCTGTAATTGGAGGGAAGTTGATGCATATTCTTCCGCGACCTAAATTTTTTCTATCCATCCCTTAGTCACTATCTCTCATCAACTCAATAACAGTCTGCCAATCTCAGGTTATCTTAGATAGTCTTGTGAAGTGTGCTACTGGTAAGAATTTGTAAATAGTATATTGGTGACGTATTCTGCGAGAATATTGAATATTAGTGACGAGTTAAGTTACAAGAAGGAGAAATTAAGAGTGTACTCTGGGCATAAATATAGAAAGCGTGGAGTGAAGCAGAATACGAATGGGATTTGTCAGCTGAACTCTCGATATAAGGTATTTTTACATTTTCACATCAGTGATCATCATTCTGCTACTAAATACCACTGTGATAGGCCGTTACAATAGGTCTCGTTGCCACTGTCAAAGGTACTATGACTGGTGGTCTTTAAAGAGAGAAACATGAGGACATTTTTGAGAGGTTTAGAAGCGATAGCCAACCTGATTGGCGTGTGTGAGTAGAAGGAGGTAGTTCGTATGGAGCTGGTGCAGAGACGTGGGGGAAGGAGTTCGCTGAGACACTGGTTTCAGAGTTTGACAGGACAGAAGACAGACAACAGGTGTTGTAGAAATGTACAACCCCATGGTTTGATACACATGATTTCGGCAGTAACGCTTATAAATCTTCAAATATTTGCTTTATCAAGTGAAGATGAAGATTCAAAAGTGCACATTCTAGTTTCCCAGTTGATGGAATGTGTCCTTACCAACCTCTGAATATGAACGAACTGATGGAAATCACAGAGAACTTCATTTCCTAACTTCACAACTTAATCCGTCTTTCTGCTATTCAGGATTCTGGCAAAAGACGTCACTAATACACTACTTACAAAATCTTTTAAGTTGTAGCCACTAATGCCTCACACCATCAAATAACACATATGACAAAAATGATAATAATTAAGTAGTCTCATTAAGTGTTCATGTGAATTTAAATTCATTTTAGAATTAGGCTCACATGTGTAATTTTCTACACTTTTTAATCATAGTATGTTTATCAGATGACGGACTTATCACTTTTAATACTCACAATATTATGACAAATTTGAATGCTAATATGAAATTATTTCTTGTATATAGTTCAGAAAAGATGGTGGATGCATCATCACAACTACTTCTAATAGATTCTCATTAAGACCTATTTCCTTCACTAGATACTGAAGACCAATCAATAGCAGGCCAGAAAGGATAAGCAGTCATCAAGGAACTCTGGGGCGCTGAGTGAACTGGCCTACAACCTATTACTGGACAAACACACTAGGATGGGTTGAACATACCTTGTTTAGACCTTCAGGTGATTTTAGTCGATAGGTCATCAGAAGAAACCCAATTGAAAAGCTGCAGGCTGGACGTCAGTTGAAGCATAATATGCAGAAGATAATGTGAGGAGGGGTAAATGAAATCTTGTAGGCAGAGAACCGAGTGGAGTGAATAATAATAATAATGTTAAAGCTAATCATAATGAGCCGCAGGATTCTGTCTCATTGGTGAAGCAATAAGATGACTTAGCGTAGCTCTATGACTACCCAGTTGATACAAAATAGTTGAATTAAGTTTTGTTACTGTTAAATTCTTAAGTCATTTAACTCTTTCTTGGAAATTAAAATAGTTAACTGTGAAGACTGAGTTAGACACATTCATTTCTACCTCATCATGAAAATGAGAGCCAATGGACATTATTAAATCATTATTTCACAATTTACGACTGGGAATGTGCATCGGCCGTCTCATTTTAGAATCCACTCCATTCAGGTAGGGGGTCAAGTTTCAATTCTTGGACGACACACTTGTTAATATTGCCTGGTTTACTAGCTGCCAGTGAAGAGGGCGAATCGGGCGTGGGGTTATAAACTCCACCCCGTCAAAATAGCATTACCGTAGCTTCTGAAACTTCAAAGGTAAAAACACTACGTTCCAGTCGGAACGGATTGCAAAAATATATTGGTCAGAGTGGACGTCCCCTTCGTCTTCAAATCCAAGAACATAAGATAGATTTAAAAAGACACGTATATATCCCTTCATAATAATACATCCAGACAATTATGAGGGCCAATTTGAGTAGGAAAATGTGAAGTGTTTTAACGGCGAAAATATTTAAAATGCTGCAGAATTCCTTACAGCCTGGTACTCGGATTAAACAAACTGCAGTCAATAGATATATGGACATAAATCAAATTTTTCAGTTAATAAAGAACAAGTTACATGACAAAAGTGTAAAAAAATTCGAATTCCAGGTCAGTTAAACAGACAGTGCCAATAGAAATGAACACAAAGCTAAAAAGACCTCTGAAGACAACCAGTCACATTTAAGGTCATCCGGAAAGACAATTACCCAACTCATGGTGAATTCCAAAGTAACACTCATTTCGCATTGAAGTAATCACTGAAGTGATGTTGTCTAGAAAGAGGATGAAAGTTTCTCAATTAAAGCACTCAGCCCAGAGAGTACGAACACATCTGATACGATCCCCCATTGATAGATACTATATATGGTTTATCAACGGACAGTTGGTAATCAAAGCAGAACTATCAGCGTATTTGACCGACTTCAAGAAGATCAATCACTTTTAAAACGGTTTTTAAACAATGGTCAACTTGAGAACCTCTTAGAACCTTTTTTTATTCCTTTGTGTTCTCAGCGGAATATAGGACTTCAAGCTAGAGCTTTGAATTTCCGGTAGCAGTGGTGTTTTATTTTTACGGGATGGGGTTGCTAACCTTATACCCAACCTTCCCTCTTACCAGTCTTATTACTGGCTTAGAGAGGTGAAAGAGTGCGTTGGCCGGGAATCGAACCGCAGACCACCTGAGTAGCTGGCGAGCATTCTACCTCTGCGCCACCGACGCAATTCCGAGAACTAGGATGAGCATATGTCTACAAAATAGGAAATTAGCCCAACTACTAACTGAACTTAATGATCCTATTTCCCCCCAGTACCTTCGTGTTACGAGACTAACCTGTTGAACTTCTGATCATTCCTATCGATGATGATCCACTGTTTTAAGTTAATAGTAGAATTTATTAGTCTAATCATAGTACGATGCAGGTGATTTTTAAGCATTTCTGCTTAAAATATCGTAAACATTCTGAATTCGATTATCAACTAGGTAGACCTATTATCATAATGTTTAGAAAACAATTATAAAAATTACCAACAATACCAATAATCAATTGTATCATAATAAAATCAACGTACCAAACAATGTCTCGCATAAATTTGATGCCTTAATTTACAGTCTAATTGAGTTTTGGAAGATGAATGCTAGTGTGCATTATTATTTTAGGCATCATCACTCTGTCTACATGTATCACTTCGATCTTGATTCATTTCAACCAATGAGACACATCCAACTATGATAATAACAATTTAGTAGAAAGCCAATGAAATTCAAGGGAATTCTGTTGAGTTAATTGTGTCTTTTTACTGACTAAAATGTATCATTATGTCTTGAATAGGCATGAACCTGGCACACACAGCCATACGCTACAAATTCAGCGACAGCTGCCCATAAACGTATGTGAAAGCTACTCATTTCGACAGCGAGAAAGTCATAAAATTACTTCATAGAAAATATGGCACTGATGTGCTTGCTGATTGAACGAAAGCAGCTGTATCTTCGTCTTTGGAGTGCTTCAAAAATGAATAGCCACCATCATGCTAGGGGTCACATGATTCTAAGGCAGGCATACTACTTCTGAAAAATTTACACGGCAAAAATGTCAAAAAGGGCGAATTCCATGTCAGTGAAACGATCGAAAGGAACACAAATTAACACAAGGATAAGAAAATCAGGAATGTTTACATATCAGGTATTAGATCGGGTGATGATGTTCCGTTTAATGAACAAGAGCTTTTGAATAAATGTTATGTGGTTTGACGAAATCGTCAAAAAGAGCTGGACCTGGGTTTCACGCTTATTGGCACTCCTGTCAGCATGACGTGTCTGCAACCACTGAGGATACGTATATCCCCTTCGAATTCGTACCTGCTTCCTCCGCTGCTGTAGTTATACACCTTACTACTGAGCTACTCAAACCGATGAGTGCCACTAAGCACGAGACATAGGTCCAGGGCTTCCAGTTTGTTGCTAGCTACCTAGCCACTGAACATGAATTGAAAAAATGCACCGTGATATTGCGTTATCTAGCTTGGTTACTGCATTGTGAATCGCATACAGCATTAAGACTATTGACTTGACGCAACACTCACGGTTTGCTCTGTAGTGACCAGCCAGAAGGATCTTCTCAGAATATTTTAGTAGTTTAGTATGTTTAATATGGTAAGTCATCAGAGCTATTATTTTTTCTACAACTGAACCGACTTTAGAAATTACAGAAAGTATCTATAGCTCAAGGTATAATTGCTGGCATTAAAGTGTCCGTTGACCTTATATTATCTGTCACTCTACTGTCAACAGCTTTCTATTCTCAGTTCTTGGTTTGCAGAGATTTTATGGGTTTCAGGTTAGGTCACCAAATGACATCGTTTAGAAAAACAGTGAAGACAAGAGATTACTGGTCAGCTGTTTTATCCCAGTCTGGAACTCTTCAGCTTTATGCTTCCATGACCCCACCGGGAGTGGAATCCAGGACATACTGATTCTTGAATGGCAGAATTTACAGTTCACAGAACATCGTTGTCCGTCCCAGTAGCTGAGTCGTCGAAGATCTCGCCCAGTAATCTGGAAGTTTTGGCTTCGACTGCTGGTACGGTGAGGGGTGAATATTGCTGAAGAACCTCGAAGTAGGACGAAATAGTTGTTCAGTCCTCACTGCTGGTATTAAAAAGTTCTTCAAATGATGTCAGTTTGTTGCCTAATTCCTGATTCGCGAACTAATTTACTACTTGCAGTTTACAGGGTTCAATGTGAAATTTCACTACAACTTCCTTTGAAAACGGAAATTAATCAGATCACAGTGTGTGATCTACTTGATACCGTCACTGCCATCCAAAAAAGCAGTCATAAATGCATGGTAGTATATATTCCGCTGATTGCTCGATTGATTGATATGAATAGTTGCTCCTAACGTATTAACCAGTAGTGCTTTCTGGCCAGGTCACTGAAGTGATTTAAACGCTACACGACCGTTTCACTCGTTTGTCGCCAAGCTCGTCGGTGGTGTGCTCGGTTTGATTATTTTCAGATGGCCAAATCTAACTTGAAGCCACTCTAATTCCTTCAGGCTAACCTCTGATTTATGTTCATACATAAACAAGTTTTAAAAAACCTAATGCTAATATTGCTTGGCACACTATTTGGTCTAATTTATAATGTCTCAAAAACCACTTTTACTGTATCTATTTATGAGTAATCATTTGCTTATATGTGTGTGTATTCGGTAAAATACACTATTTTCTATACAAAGAATTGGATACTGATTTAAACAAAATAATTTTTAAAACATTTACAACTAGTGTCGTATTTCAGTGTTGAATAGTTGAAGTGAATTTATGGGTCACTTAGGTAACTAACTGAACTAAAGTTGTTTATACATTAATTCACTTTGCTCCGGTACAACAGATGGCAGAAGTTAACTGGAATGTCTGAGCTACACATGTGTTTTTCTGAACTGTGATTTTTAAAAAGTGTAGGCTACAGCCTCAGTGAACGTATAAATCGTTGTAAAGGTGAAGTGCGAACAAACTTAAGACTTACCACTGAGGATGTTGTCCAGAATGACAATGAAAGCTTCGGAATCAAACTATCCATTTCAGAGAACAAGACAAAAACAAAATTTTTCTGACTATTGGAATTATACATTTCCTGAATTATTTCAAAATATTATGAATAACCAAAGGATCCAAATCTAATCTTATTAATGATTTCCTACAATGAACTTCTGAAAAATATGTTAGGAATCTGAAGAATTTCGACGTGTTTCTTTATTAAATGGATGAAAGAAGTCAGTAGGAAGTCTTAGATAAAAGTTCCATGCTTATTGGCATTCGTGCCACAGCAAGGCGTATCTATACCCTTGAAGGAACTCATGTCCCTTCTGAGATTTGAACCCGGGCCACACAGTGCTGAAGTCAGAGACATTACCACTGAGCAATTTGGGCTCACGACAGACCCCCTATAGGATGTATTAGACAATTTTGACTGAACACTCACTTGTGTAAAGTGTCTAGTCCTTTGATTGCTATAGATTGATATGAGTCAGTCAGGTCTGCAGTGTGTCCACCAGGAAAGGTGGGTCATTGTCGCTGTGTACTCAATGTCTGTGTATAAGGCTTGATGCCAATTGCCAACAAGCATACAATAACAAACATTTTGCCTCAAAGTTGATTGAAAACTACCTAGCACAGTGCCATCATTGTAAACTTGAATGATGGAATTCATGAAAGCAAAACACGTAGTTCAGCGAAGAGGCTTTTTTCGACGTATTTGATTTCCCCACTTATATACAGATTTTATCATGGAAGAGGGTAGTAACAAAAGTGATGAGTTGTCACAAATGTAGCTGTCAATGTTAGTCAGTGCATATAAGATGTTGAATAAGTGTTTTAGAGTTATGCAATAAGACGAATAATTTAATGAGTGAGTTGTCACCAGGATGCACGTAAAAACGAAGGAAAATATGGAATTATGTAAGAGTTCTAGAAGAATACAAGATCTATAAGGAATTAGAGAAACAAACAAATAAACAAACAAATCAAGTCAGTAGAAATCAATAATCAAGTGTTAGTTTGCAGGGATTTGATTGATTTCAGGATTTCAATGTGAACTGACATCGATTAGAAGACCATTGGGAAACCTGAGAGTACGGGGCATTTGTTTCACCCCAGTTCGGGACTATTCACAGCATGCATCCACTGAGTTCGAACTGAATGGCTAAGGCTTCAGCAATGCAAAAGAGACGAAAGCGTATTGCCTTTGCTAGTTTATCTTCACTCTGTAGATTACTTTGAGGGAGGCGTTTGTTGAGACAGAATGATCAGTGTTGACAAGGTGTTTGATTATCGCACACCTTACATAGCCACTAATAGCACCCTGTAGTCGTGCGGGATAGTGTTCTAGCACCCTTTTAGATAGCACACGCGTCGAATGATTAATGTACCTACCTGGCTGCACGGCAACAGGTGAGCTGACATACGCACAGAGAAGTGTTAAGGTGAGATAACTTCTCCTTAGGGATTCTGCAGACCGATGGGCAACTGGAGAAGACTGATCTTAGCGTTTCCGCAAAGAATGTTCTCGAAATCGCTAAATTTACTTCCTCAAGGATATCGCAGGATAAGTCTTCCTTGAAATCCAGGTTCATGTTTCTGTTTTGAACAAGTTATGTTTCGCTCCTCTGAACTTTTGGTTTGACATTCTTGTCGACGAATCTTGATGGGTATGCATTTTGGAGGGAGGTTCCCTTCAGAAGATTCAGTTCTTTTTCCAGGGCGTCAGGATTGCAGATGCGTCGAATACTAGTGTTGAGGGATTTAATTAGATTTCGTTGTTGCTCAAGAGGCACCCAACTACAGAAACTTGTCATTTGGCCGTTCCAGTTGGGTTTCCTATAGATCGACCTTCTTAAGCTTCCGTCAGATTGTTTTGTTAGTCCCAAATCAAGAAAGGGAATTCTGGATTCATTTTCCACTTTTATAGTGAATTTTACTGTCGGATGCCAGTTGCTAAATGCTTGTAGCAATTGACTGGGGTCGTGACTATTATTGCAAATGACGAAAATATCACCTACGCACATTTCATACAGTTGTAAATTGTCAATAGCCGACTTTAACGGACTGTTCTCAAGGATAGTTATAAAACAGTCAGCCAGTAATGGACCCAAGAGAGATCCCACTGCAATACCATCCTTCTGTTTGTAGATGGTGTCACTGAAAGTGAATTGTACATTGAGTGTACATCTCAACAGCAATTCTCAATGTACTCACCAGTGCCTTTGATGATAATCCATTCCACCTTGACACGGTGAACCCCACTGGTCTGACTTACCACTGTGGCTTCGGAAATTCATCCATAAGCCATCAGTGAGCTGGCGATTGATATTCAGATTATTGGACTTGTCGGGATTTCAGAATAATCTCAATTGTTAGATTTTAGTCCTGAATCAGCATCATTTTGAGAGATCATTAGAAATATTTGTTAAAAATGTGTTTATTTCATACATACATACATTCATACATGAAAGCATTTTGACCAAGTGTCTAAGGGAAATGGGAAGAAACAACTTTCCATTACATCATGGTTACCAGTGGTTCTCTAACTAATGTCAGTTAATTTTTGTAATGTCAGTTAGTGACAGAGAACAGCACAATGGAAGTATACTCAATTGTAC